GCTCATCAGGCCACTCCTGCCTGATGGAATCCACATCTCTGCACACACCACAAACTGCAACTGCTGCTCAGGAGCCTCCTGGATTCCTCCCACCCCAGAGCAACTTCAGAATAGTTCCAACGTCACCTTCAGGCTCCAGTCAGTCACGCAAAATGGAGGTACACGTTCTCCGCCCTTTCCCTGGGCCCTCCATGCCATTCCCTCTCCTTCTAGAGTACCCACAGCCAAACTCCCTCTACTTGACTTCAGGGAAGCTCCCATCTGCTGCAGGTCCCACAACGGGCTCTTGGATCTTCTGCCAGCTTATTTTACAATAACGTTTTTCCCTTCCCCTGTTGCCATGTGACAGCCTGACACAAACACCAGGGAGCCCTGTCTGTCTACGCACAGGAAACAGGTTTACACAGACATGGACAAGGTCCTGCCAGAGGCACATGGCAAAGCAGCCAAAGAGCTGCCAGTACCCCTGGTGCCCCTTTAGCCCAGCTGGAGAGAAAATGAAGCTGCAGCTGCCTGCGCTCATTCCGTGGATTTCAAAGCACTCAGCAACTTTGGGTCTAAACACCTTCCTTCTGGCAGCCTGTCACTCCCTCTTCTGCTGCAGGCAGAGGGGCAGCAGGTGCCTTGTTCCAGCACAGCCCTCCCTACCCCCGAGGGCCTTCATCGGAGGACAAGTAGTGTATGTCCTGCTTCAGCTGACACAGGGGAGAGCCACGGGGGGGAGGTGGAACGGGAAAAGGAAAAAGCATCATAATGCCAGGAGCTCTTCCTGCAGACTGTAACCTGCGGGAAATGCCCAATGCAAACGGTATTTGGGGCAGAAAAATGCCTCGCTGGGGCAAGATTTCTGGGGAAGCCTGGCAGATGTAGTAGTGATGAGAAAGACCTCCTTTCCCTAGTTCCCCTCTATACATGTTCTCTGTTCAGCACCTAGAAGCAAGTTGAGCAAGTCTGTGTACACCAGAGGGCTGAGCTCGACCTTATAAAAGAGCAGCCTGGCTCAGGAAACACCAAGCAGGGCAAGTGGATCCAAATTCCCTGATTTACTTACTTCCAAACTGTCGCTCCCATCAGCCTCTCTGTCTATTATATCAAAAATATCTTCATGGATTTTTTCTCCCTGCAAGAGAGACCAGACCAGATTTTGATCTTGTCCCACAGAAAATGGAGAAGAGCTCCTCAAGCCTGATGTGAAGCCAAGTCAGACTGGCAGTGTGACCATGCACCCAGGGTGCCACAAAGTGTCAGGTGTAAGTCCCTGCCAAGTGACAAGGTATTCTTCAGAAACCACGTACTAAGCCTGACATGAGAAAGCCACGATAAAGCCTCAGGCCTAACGAGCTGATCTGTGTTTGCACCCAGGAGCCCTAAAGCTGTTACCTGTGAGAAGCCACTGGCCCAGTTGTTCCCAGCTCCCCCTCCGTGCTCAGAAAGGTAGATGTTTTCTGGGTTGTAGAGGTTGGCGTAAGGGGAGTTCAGGATGGAGTGGATAACTCGAGGCTCCAGGTCCAGCAGCACAGCTCGTGGGATGTAGTGCTCATCGTCTGCCTTTAACAAGGAGCAGTAAGATCATGATGCAGTTGCAGCTCAGCGCCACTTCTTACTGCAAGAGAAACTGCAAGTGCGTGTGCCACCCCCTGGCCACGGGAGAGCACGGCACAGCCGGCGTCTGGCAGGGAAGAGGAGGAAGGGAAACTTGTCATGTATGGCCTGTCTGTAATGCAGCATCTTTATGCACCCCAGAGCATATCCTGAATGCTGGGCGGGCGGGGTGGGGGGTGGCTCTCTCCTAACAGGCTCGCACTCACGGCGGTTACGTAAGGTGGTATCTATGGCAGCCTGAGCCTCGCATTTCTGCCTCCACAACACACCTATTTCCAGAAACAGGAGCACAGACAGGAGCCCTGGCAGCGTGCTGCCTACCAGGAGGTGCTGGAGAGCACTGAAG